TGGGGAGTTGGGGAGCAGTAGCATGGGAAGAAATGCCAGATATAGGTAAAGGGGAGGAAGGCAGCAAATCACCCTGCCACATGTGTACCTATGCAACTATCTTGCATGTTCGTCACATGTACCCCAAAACCTAAAATGCAAGTAAAAAATATGGCACATCCTACAGGCTCCTCAAGACCAAATGCAGTATGTTTCAAATCCATCTTTTTTACTCTAATGTGCCCCTCCTCTTCTATCTGCCCAACTGATATCATTTTGGTGACTCAGACCTCTGTCTACACAGTTGACCTCTATCTACACAGTGTTGAAACTTGGTGGTCATCCTAAATTTCCCATTCAACCAGTCACCAAGAGCTGTTCTGTCTGTCTTCTAAGTATCTATCTGATAAGTCTTTCCTTTATGTTACTGCAGCATATTATTAGTCCAGGCTGTCCATCATCTTTTAATTTTTTAACTATTCAAATAGCTCCTTAACTGGTCTTACTGCTTCTTGGCCTACTCCCTTTTAGTCTATCCTTCACGTTGTGATAGAGTGCATTTTCTCTAATGCAAATCAGATCACACCACTCCTCTGCTTGAAGCCCTATCATGGTTCCCACTGCTTCCTGGTACAACCCAAGCTGCTCCACAAGGCTTACAAGGTCCATCACAACCTGGCCCTCCCTACCCTTCCAATCTTATCTCCTATCATCCTTTCCTTATTTTCTTTGCTCAAATAATGTCACGCTGAATACTCCCCACCATGTCTTCATGTCTTAGTACACACTGTTCTCTCTGCCTAGAATGACCCGTTGGTCTTCCAGCCAAATCTTCATTCAGCTTTCAAAATCAGACTCAGAGCATGTCTGGATAGATACACAAGAAACTAGTGACAGTGATTAGGTGGCTGGGGCACAGGAGTGGAAAGAAGATTGACTTCATCCACCTATTTGTACATTCTGTATTTTGTACCACAAATCTGAATTCACTATTCAAAAAAGTAAACGCAACATAAAATTTTTGTTATAAAAGCTCAGGAGGCTGGGCGCGGTGGCTCATGCCTGTAATCCCAGCACTTTGGGAGGCCGAGGCAGGTGGATCACGAAGTCAGGAGATCGAGACCATCCTGGCCAACATGGTGAAACTCCGTCTCTACCAAAATACAAAAAAAAATTATCTAGTCCCAGCTACTCAGGAGGCTAAGGCAGGGGAATCGCTTAAACTTGCATGGCAGAGGATGCCGTGAGCTGATATCATGCACTGCACTATATCCTGGGCAACAGAGCAAGACTCTGTCTCAAAAAAATAAATAAATAAAACATAAAAATAAATAAAAAAGCTTAGGAATCAGGTCCTTTAGAAAGTTGTTTTCCCCTCTTCATCCTCCTTTGCAGTTTTGTACTCCTTGCTTTGTGCTACTTCTGGGCCTAATGTGTGCTCCTGTGATTAGAATAATTACATTGCACTGCAATTATTTTATTTTATTTTATTTATTTTTGACACAGAGTCTTGCTCTGTTGGCCAGGTTAGAGTGCAATGGCACAATCTTGGCTTACTGCAACCTCCGCCTCCTGGGCTCAAGCAATTCAGCCTCAGCCTCCAAAGCAGCTGGAATTACAGGCATGTGCCACCATGCCAAGCTAATTTTTGTATTTTTAGTAGAGACGGAGTTTCACCATGTTGGCCAGGCTGGTCTCGAACTCCTGACCTCAGGTAATCTGCCTGCCTCAACCTTCCAAAGTACTGGGATTATAGGCTTGAGCAACCATGCCCGGACCCAATTTACATGTTAAGTTGTCTGTCTCCCCAGATTGTGAGCTACCTGAGGGAAGGGGCTGCATCTTACTTTTTATTGTTTCCCCAGAATTTAGCACAGCACTCTATAAATGTTTATTGAGTGAATGAAGAAACAAGTGAAAAGAGGAATAAAGTAGGGAATGCCTCAAATTATAAAACAATGCTCCCAAACCAGTTATCTTTCCCAGTCTCTCTCAATTTGTCCTTTTGCCATGTATTGAGCTTAAAAGTAATACTTTACCTTTATATATATATATATATATATATATTTTTTTTTTTTTTTCTGAGACAGGGTCTCACTCTGTCACCCAGGCTGGAGTGCAGCGGCACAATCATGGCTTCACTGAAGCCTCGATCTCATGGGCTCTAGATCCTCCCACTTCAGCGTTCCAAGTAGCTGGGAGTACAGGCATACATCACCACACTCTGCTAATATTTGTATTTTTTTGTAAAGATTGGGTTTCACCATGTTGCCCAGTCTGGTCTTGAACTCCTGGGCTCAAGCAATCCACCTGCCTTGGCCTCCCAAAGTGCTGGGATTACAGGCGTGAGCCACTGCACCTGCCTTACATTTATTCTTAAGTATTATCCATCAATTACCTTGTCAATTTGGGCTCAGCATTATCTAAGACTGCTCAGATCATTTCAAAGTCTCTCTTATTTTTGTGTTATGGGTAGATCTGATACATATTTGTATAGCCTATTCTGAATCACTTGATCAGAATGTTGATACAATACCTACTGCTTATCGAACACCTACTGTGCATCAAACACTGTACTAGATGTTTTTACATATGACATTGTCACAGCATTTGGTGCAAAGTCAGCATTTTGCTCTCCAGTTTACAGATGAGAAGACTGAAATCAATATGGTTAAGTGGTCTGTCCAGGGTCACATTTCTGGTAAATGGTGAAGTTCAGATTTGAACCAAGGTCTTTTGACTTCAAAATTCATGCTTGATTTATAACACTACACTGATTCAAAGAAACATCTCCACTGCCGTACAACTGGGTAAAGGGTTCTTCAAGGTTGGCTAGAACCACTCAGTGCCTAGCTCAAGGCAGCCCATTGTCTTTGGACTGCTCTGATCGTTTTAAAAGCTCTTGTCTGTAGTGAGCCAAGTTATAAATGAGCCAAACAAGACGAGGCCAATAATAAGGCCTTTTGGCTCTCTACTAGAACTTTCCTTCCATTTTGACACCAAACTATTCATTCACTTCTTTGGCTGTGGTTATTCAACTATTTATAGGCTTATCTCAACAAATGGCTGAAGCTTCCAGCTTATATTTTGCCATCTCATCTACAAGGAAATTATGGGAAACTTTGTCCAATGCCTGGATGAAATGAAATCCACTATAGCTATCACATTCTCTGATATGCCAATCTAGTCAGCAGATCAAAACAAACAACAACAATAACAAAAACAAAGGAAATGAAGTCTAGGAGGGATATTTGTTTTTTAACGGGGCAATTTGTCAATGACTTAAAGCAATGAGTTTCCAGTGGTATACTTTCAGACATCCTTGATAGGCTGTCAGGAAGATAATTTTTGGCCAGTGGACTTCCTACTTCGCTTCAAATGACATCTAAATAGGGACTCTCATTTTTATTGCTTTGAATTGTACAGCACTGTCGTTTGCATCTGGTTTTATTTAAGCTTCCATTTCAGTTTTCTGGGCTTTTGTTTTTTCTTTGTGTTCTGCCCTTGCACATGTTTCCTCTGCCTGTTTCGTTCCCTAAACTCCTATGCTCTCCCACCGCCCCCAACACACATACTCATACCTTTCTTGTCCTTTGAGAATCAGTGCATGCAGCCGCTTCTCCAGAAGCCTTCCCTGTTGTCCCCAGACTAAGGTAACTGCTTTTCTTCCTGGGTGATGTAGTGGCAAGTGAGCACAGTGCCTGTCACAAAGTAGATCCCCAATAAATGTTAATTCCCTTCTCCCCTTCCTCCATGAATAGCTCTAAAATAGTATTGATTACACCATATTGTATTTTTTTGTTTATTTGGCTGGCTTCACCACTCAATTATGAGCTCACACATTCATCCAGTCATTAACAAATATTTACTGTGTCCATGGTGTACAATGCATTGTTCATGTAGGTGCTGGGGACACAGTGATTTCTGAAAATTGTATTTTCACTGTTGTATTTATAGCACCTGTCATAGTGTCTGGCAAGTAGAGTGCTTATTAAATGTTTGTTAAGGATATGTACTTCCTTAGCAGAGTTTCTCAAAGTGTGGTCTTTGAACCATTCGCATCTGGATCACTGAGGGATGTAAGTTAAATCGTTAATTCCTGGGTCCCTCTCCAAACCCACTGAATCAGAATATCTTAAGACTGGGCTGCAAGAATCTGTATTTTAATCTCGTTTTGCAGGTATTTCTTTCATGCTAAAATTTGGGAAACACTGCGAAATAGAACAGAAATAGGGAGACCTAAGGCCTATTATTGAAAAGTATAGCTAAAACCAACTACATCATGTTTAATGCCTCTGAATGCTGTAGGAAATTTTAGCAAAGAAGTAAAAGGAGTTAGTTAAAATTGTCTAGAAAGGTTATTATTTACCTTTTGAACACACAGAATTATTGTTAATAAAATCTATTCTTAATTTAGGTCAAATTTATGATACCAGTGAGTTTTCGTTTTTATAGAGCTACTTGTATATTTGATGGTGTATAGGTACCCTTTGTGTAACTCAACAATGCAATATATTGATTCCATATTATAGACTTGAATTGCAAACTAAGAGTATGTCCCAACTGCACTTGTGCTTTAACTTTGATTGTGTATGTGATTTGTCTGATGCTTAGTCCTTGATCAGAATTGTTAGTGTTCATTCTCTGTGAAAATGTGATCCATTTAACTGTTTTATGATATATTTTCCAAGAGCATACTGTTATTAAAAGTGTTCTTTGTTAATAGATTAGGTATATAAGATCCAAGTGAACCAAAGAGAGCACAACTTCCCTTTCAGGAAGCTGGATTTTATGACCATGTTTTGGGGACTGGAACTGTCTATTTTTAGTTTGCCTTGACATGATCCTTATGGTCAAGAGATGAAATGCTATTGTATCCAGACACAAATATGTTAAATATTCACAGGTTTACACTTCTGTTTCCCTCCTTTTGACTTCCCTCATTTTTTCCAACTCGACTTAGGTTTTCAGCTGCGAAGCTGGACCAAAAATGGCCATCTGCATGCTGCTCACCCAGCACCATGTCCAAAGGCCTGAAAAGTCTGTGTAAAGACCCTGCTTTGGAGCTGAGCTGCTACCAGGACTACCAGTTCAGTGGCAGTAAATCTGAGCAGGAAAAATTACTGAGGGAAAGCTCCACATTGTATGTGGAGAATCTTTCCTTTTATACAACTGAAGAGCAAATACATGAGCTCTTTAGTAGATGCGGTGATGTCAGGAATATATTTATGGGCCTGGATAAAATAACGAAAACAGCATGCTGTTTCTGTTTTGTAGAATACTATAACAGAGCCGATGCTGAAAATGCCATGTGGTTTCTAAATGGGACCTGCCTAGATGAACGTATTATCCACACTGATCGGGATATAGGTTTTAGAGAGGGTTGACAGTATAGTCACGGTGTATCTGGGGGTCAGGTAATGGGTGAGTTTCACGAAGATTTTGATCCTGGTAGAGGAGGCTCTGGAAGACAGGCTCAGATCTAGAACAGTCCATAGAGAAAAAGTTGAAACTCTAACCCCTTGAAAAGTGCATTAAAGAGCAACCTCAAGTCTGCGAATTGCCAATTCCAGGTTTAAATTACCCTACTAGTTGATAAATTTCTTTTTCTGTGAAAATTTATTAAATGGCACAAACAAAAAAATCCATTTGTTTTTGTCTGAATTTTGAAGCTGCTTGTCTGATTACCAGTCTATTAGTTGGTCCAAAGTGAAGTGTTCTTCAGGAACAAATTAGGTATGTAAGATCAGAGTCAACCAAAGTACGACTTCCCTTTTAAGATTTCCTTTGGATTCTATGACCATGTTTCTGAAGGCTGAAATTATATAGTTTTTGAAGCTTGCATAAATGAAGTCAAATAAATGAAAAATTTTTTCAAATTATCAAAAGAAACACAAGCACTATTATTTGAAACCATAGAGCCAGGCATGGTGGCTCATACCTGTAATCCCAGCACTTTGGAAGGCTGAGGTGGGCAGATCACAAGGTCAGGAGTTCGAGACCAGCCTGACCAACATGGTGAAACCCCGTATCTACTGAAACTGCAAAAATTCGTTGGGCGTGGTGACGCATGCCTGTAATCCCAGCTACTCAGGAGGCTGAGGCAGGAGAATCGCTTAAACTTGGGAGGCGGAGATCATGCTACTGTACTTGAGCCTGGGTGACAGAGTAAGACTCCATCTCAAAAAAATAAAGCCATAAAAAAGTCTGGAAGAATTTGTAATAAAAACAAAATCCCTCCTGCCCCACCTCTTCCTATCTTATGCCTGTTCCCTGGACAATAACACTTAATTATTTTTAGTAGTTTTTGGCTTGTTTGTTTCTTGATAGTTTTCTCCATATCTCCAAATAATATAACTGCTTACTTTCTTTTTAAATGCTATCTACTGACTTCCTGTTTTCAGAGATGAGGATTTAGCTCACTTACATCTCCATTTGCACTTCTCTACTCTCCATCCTCTCAATATAGTTCACAACACTTTACAGACGGTTCCTGAGTTACAGTGGCTTGGCTTACAATGCTTTGACTTTACAGTGCTATAAAAGTAATATGCATTCGGTAGAAACCATACTTCAGATACCTACACAACTATTTCGTTTTTCACTTTCAGTATACAACAAATTGCATGATATACTTAACACGTTATTATAAAATAGACTTTGGATTAGATGATTTTGCCCAAGGGTAGGCTAATATAAGTGTTCTGAACACATTTAAGGTAGGTTATGCTATACTATATTTGAGAGACTAGATGTATTAAATGCATTTTCAACTTAGCAATATATTCAATTTAAAATGAGTTTATCAGGATGTAACCCCATCATAAGTCAATAAGCATCTGTATTTACTTTCTTTATTGTTACATAGCATAAGTTCGGTTATGCTGCAGTCAAAAAATCTTAATGCTTAAAATCACTAAGCTCTGTTCCTTTCACTACATTTCCATTGCTGATTACACAATGGGGGGGTCTGTTCCATGTCATGATTGTCCTCCTTCTGGGGCCCAGGCTAATATTATAACCACTATCTGGAATCATGGTGACAGAGGGAAAAACAGAGTGACAAATCATGTCCTGGCTCCTCAAGCTTCCATCCAGAAATGATATTCATCACCTTTGCTCACATTTCCATTCTCAAAACATGTTGTCAAAACTGATTCTGAGAGAGTGGAGAAGGATCTGTAGGAAAAGGCCCTGAATATTAGTGATGAGTTATACAGTTTACTATAGGTTCTCCTGTAATTTTAATACATACAAATATACCCCCATTTTTGTTCTACCATATAGTACTCCCCACTTTGTAAGATGAAGATATTAACATCCTTTTGCCTTTTCTTCATCTTTCCTCCTCCCCTTTCTACTTTCTAGCTTTTTCAATCTATATTCTATTTTTACATTGTCAAATTTGATAAAGTCCACACTCTGTCTTTCAGTTAATTCCAAAAGTTTACAATTAGTATTGAGCATTTTATTACTGTGACTATATAAATATTGCTCCCTGGCCAGGTGCAGTGTCTCATGTTTATAGTTCCAGCATTTTTGGAGACCAAAGTAGGTGGATCACTTGAGGTCAGGAGTTCAAGACCAGCCTGGGCAATACGGCAAAACCCTGTCTTTACCAAAAATACAAAAACTATTTGGGCATGGTGGCATGTGGCTACCATCCCAGCTACTCAGGTGGCTGAGGTGGTAGGATCACTTGAGCCTAGGAGGCAAGGTCACAATGAACTGAGATTTTTTTCACTGCACTCCAGCCTGGGTGACAGAGTCAGACCCTATCTCCAAATAAATAAATAAATAAATAAAATTCCCTGCAAAGCCAGGGAGATTCCAACAATTATATCTTTTCTTCTGAAATTTTTGTTTACCATTCTCTATTTCTTTTATTTGCCTTTATTGTACCCCTTAATTTCCTCCAAACTCTGTAAAAAATTAAGCCTTCTGTGGATACTCCCCTACTTTCCTCTCCATAATCTGTCTGTCTTCCTGTTCCAAGCTGGATTTGTCACTCTCTAGACCAGGGTTTTTCAATCTCAGCCCTACTGATGTTCTGGACCAGATAATTATTTGTTGTGAAAGGCTGTGTTGTGCATTATAGAATTCAGTATCCTTGGCCTCATATACCCATTAGATATAGTAGCATGCATTTGCACTCTCTCTCTCTCATCTCTCTCTCTCTCTCTCTCTCTCTCTCTCTCTCTCTCTCTCTCTCTCTGTCTCTAACTTGTGACAACCAAAAATGTCTCCAGACATTACCAGTTGTTTCTGGCAGGCCAGTAGGGAGGCAAAATCACAACTGACTGCAAGCCACTGCTCTAAACAATAGTTCCCATCCAGAGATTTTTCTTCACTATATACTCTTGAATTGGACTGACTATTTCATGGATCCTGTGTTTATCCCTTTTTTGGTTTACTCCTGTATTAGCCCATTTTCACACTGCTATAAAGAATTACCAGAGACTGGGTAATTTATGAATTGAAAGGTTTTATTAACTCACAGTTCTATAGGCTTAATAGGAAGCATCACTTAGTGGCCTCAGGAAACTTACAATCATGGCGGAAGTTGAAGGGGAATTAAGCATGTCTTACCATGGTGGGGCAAGAAAGAGAGAGTGAAAGAGCAAAGTGGGAAGTGCCACACACTTTTAAACCATAAAATCTCATGATAACGCACTATCACAAGAACGGCCAGAGGGAAATCCACCCCCATGATTCAGTCACCTTCAACCAGTCCGCTCCTCCAATTAGAGATGAGATTTGGATGGGGGCACAAATGCCAACCATGCCACTCCATCTCTGGCCTCTCCCAAATCTCATGTCCTTCTCACATTGCAAAACAGAATTATCCTTTCTCAACAGTTCCCCAGTCTTAACTCATTTCAGCATTAACTCAAAAATCCACAGTCCAAAATCTCATCTGAGTCAAGGTAAGTCCCTTCTACCTATGAGCCTGTAAAATAAAAAACAAGGTAATTACTTCCAAGATACAATGGACGTATAGGCATCGGGTAAATGCTTCCATTCTAAATGGAAGAAAGTGGCCAAAACAAAGGGGCTACCAGCCCCTTGCAAGTTTGAAACCCAGTAGGACAGTCACTAAATCTTAAAGCTCCAAAATAATCTCCTTTGACTCCATGTCACATCCAGAGCATGCTGATGCAAGAAGTGGGCTCCCAAGGCTTTGGGCAGCTCCACCTCTGTGGCTCTGCAGGGTACAGCCCCTATGGCTGCTTTCACGGGCTGGTGTTGAGTGTCTAAGACTTTTCCAGGTGCAGGATGCAAGCTGTAAGTGGATCTACCATTCTGGGGTCTAGAGGATGGTGGCCCTCTTCTCACAGCTCCACTAGGCAATGCCCCAGTGGGGAGTCTGTGTGAGGTCTCTGACCCAACATTTTCTCTCCACACTGCACTAGCAGAGGTTCTCCATGAGGGCTGCGGTCCTGCGGCAGACTCCTGCCTAGTCATCCAGACCTTTCTGTACATCCTCTAAAATCTAGGCAGAGACTTCCAAAGCTCAGCTCTTGCCTTATGTGCACCTGCAGGCCCAACATCATTTGGAAGCCTCCAAGGTTTGGGGCTTGCACCCTCTGAAGCAATGGCCCAAGCTGTACCTTGGTCCCTTTTAGCCACAGCTGGAGCTGGAGCAGCTGAGATGCAGGGCACCATGTCCCAAGCCTGCAGAGAGTGGTAGGGCACTGGATCTGGTCTATGAAACCATTTTTTCCCTCTAAGTCATTGGGCCTGTGATGGAGCAGGCTGCTGTGAAGGTCCCTGAAGTGGCCTGGAAACACTTTCCCCATTGTCTTGTCTATTAACATTCAGCTCCACTTTAGTTATGCAAATTTCTGCAGCAGGTTTGAATTTCTCCCCAGAAAATGGGTTTTTCTTTTCTACTGCATGGCCAGGCTACAAATTTTTCAAACTTTTGTACTCTGCTTCCCTTTTAAATACAAGTTCCAATTTCAGACCATCTCTTTCATCATGCATATGAACATACACTTTTAGAAACAGCCAGGTCACACCTTGAATACTTTGCTGCTTAGAAATTTCTTCTGCTAGATACCCTAAATCATCTATTCAAAGATACCCTAAATCATCTATCTTAAATTCAAAGCTCCACAGATCTCTAGGGCAAGGGCAAAATTCTCTTTGCTAAGAGTGATCTTTGCTCAGCTCCCAATATGTTCCTCATCTCCATCTGAAACTAGCTCAGCCTGGACTTCATTGCCCATATCACTAACAGCTTGTTGGTCAAAACCATTCAACAAGTCTCAAGGAAGTTCCAAACTCTCCCACGTCTTCCAGTCTTCTTCTAAGCCCTCTAAACTACTCCAACTTCTGTCTGTTACCCAGTTCCAAAGTCACTCCCACATTTTCAGGTATCGTTATGGCAGTACACCACTTCTCATACCAATTTTCTGTATTAGTCCACTTTCACACTGCTATAAAGAACTACTTGAGACTGGGTAATTTATGAAGAAAAGAG